TGGCATGTAATACAAGGAATGGAAGACGGCATGGGTTGGGACACTCACGCTGCTGCTGCTTCTTCCTTCTCCATTTGCATCAAACACATTTGGCGCTTAGCAACTGCGTAGATGAGATTTTTTTCGTCTTCTTCCTAGCAGTCATTAAATTTTAAACATGGTTAAGTGGAGTAAAAATATAATTTTCGATTATTGGTGCCAACTGTCAGTGCCTACATAATTTCCTTCATCTTCTTCCTTCTTTCAAAAATTTTGCATGGGTATAAATGACATAAAGTTTATATAACGTGTAACTTTTAATTTATGCACCGAATAGAAGTTTACCTTATCCCTGATACTCTCTACCAGTCGCATCTTTTTTCGGTTCTCTATTTCCTCAAGTAAGTCTCTAGTCGTCATTTTCTGCTCCTGCCGTTTTTCCTCGCGCATCCGCGATTTCGTTCTTTCCGCCTCCCTTGACAGGCTTCGGATCATTTCACCCTCCTCCTTCAACGCCAACTTCTCCTTCTCTTCTTGTTGATGACGTTCCTCAATTCTACACACATAGGTCTTTTCCATTATGTGGACCTTAGCAACTGGTAGATTTTCAAACTTCCTTGGCATCTGTTGTGTTGATAACTTACTGTGAACGTTGGAATTCGTGAACTAGTCGTTCGGCGGCCTTTTTTTCCCTCATCTCTTTTTCCTCTTTCTTCTCAGCTAAAACGAAAATGCAATCGTTAGAGCCTCTGTCATGAACGTAGCAATGATTTATATCTCCTTCCACAAGCTGATAATTGTGACGATATACCTCCTTGTATTTGCATTGATAGCTCTGCGATGATTTTTTAAGCAGACCTTCTGAACGGCCTCATGATTAATACAAAATGTACTTTCTGATCCAACCTACAGACCATTACTTTCTTTTAAATAATTTTACCATTTTTGCTGTTTTATGACAGTAGCTCCAATATCGTTTCTAAAATACATGGGGTACTGAGCAATATAATCAAAAAATAGCACACCGACCCGCTGTAATTGCATCAATCATGGCCCGATATTCCATTTCACGCTTCTTGGATTCAGCCTCCCGTTTCAGTTCCTTTAATTGGAGTTGAAGATCATTCTCCTTCAAAGCATCGCCCAATCTTAAAGCTGCCTGAATTTCAAAAAAATGCTCCAGTCTGACATAAATCCATTCAATCCTTGACTTTCCACTCACCATGACGCGTTCCTTGAAAAGCAATGTATTTTAAAGTCTGCTTTCCTAACCTCTACGTTTCAGTTAAATGCTGATTTTGTCCCCGATTACAAACTTAATGACGCCTAAAATCCTAAAATGAATTAAGTAGTACATGTTCGCAACTTGGCAATGTTTGTCAGCAAAACCTCTTGGCGTGGTTCCAATAGGTCATGTATTTTAAAAGTCTTATAAAATGAAATCAATTTTTTTTAAATTATTGCGGCAAAAATGGTAGATTAATGTTTATTTGAGTAATTAATAATTTGGGTCTTTTAGTTTATGTGCTCATGTAAACTAATGATATATAAGGGGGCAGTAGATTATGCTTATCCTATCTGTAAATAAACTTTAGAGAAAACCTAGAGTTTAGTCCAGTTTCCCGTATTTTAAATTACTAGACTCATAATAATACCAAAGGCAGGTAGATGATACGACACCTAGAGACCATCCAGTGCATCTCGATGGTAAAATGTGACGAGAAAAAAGTTATAAAATAAGAACCTAAACAAGTACATGGAATTTCTTTAAGCGAGACGTATCATATAACTGGGCGGTGCGAGCAATGCAAAGCTTTTTGAGGCGGTCCTTGGCCTGCTCTTTAGCCCATTCAAGGTCCACGGCCACTCTTTCTTCTTCCTCCTTCTTCAAACGCTCCTCTCGTTCATGCAACTTCTTCTTTCGTGCACCCTTTGCGTGAAAACAAAAGGAACCATAAAATGGGCAGGCTAGTGACATTGGACAAGGAAAAAATGGCAAGAACCACCCAAGATTCTTACCAAAATGGTGTTTGTCCAGTCCTTGTGAATCTCAAAAGACCTGTTTCTGACATTTTCGCGGGCCTCAGTATCCATTCTTAATTTGGCTGCACTAATCTCGCTTGCATGTATGCGATTATTAAGCTGAACCCATTCCTCCCGAGTAAATACCTTTACAAGCTTATCATTACACTCGGGGTTGGAAGCTTGAGGGTTGGGCTTGCCTCCTTCAAAATAAGAAGAACGCAGATCTTAGCGATCAAATTGGTCCTCAAGAAAATCGTGCTATAAAATAGCAGTAGCGATGACTTTACTTTGTTCCGACCAAAAGTTCTGTTGCAAAATCTTCAAAGGCTTTTAATTTCCAGGACACTTAACTATTATTTTTGCTTATTCAGGAATGTGTAACGAACAACATCCATAACATACATTGCTTACTGGTATTACCCCAACTAATAGTGCCAACGATAATGTTAACTATGCTTTTGGCCTTGGTCTGATCACTGGATTATTATACTATGCAATTCATTCTACCAGCACGATCCTTACTATCAAAACAACTCATTTAAGATCCTGATTAATTACACAAGCAAATCCAATGACAACGTTAAATGTTGAGTAACAAAAACAACCCAAGGCTACATCAAAACATTTTACATTTAATAGGTGAACTATAATTGCTGCCACAAAAATCTAACTTGTAAGCTTTTTTGAAAAATGTTGATCCTTCAACAAACCAGTACCAGGCAAGAGTTATTCTTATTTAGTTTTACATGGTAACACTGCAATAATTAGTTGATAATCAGTTTGAAAGGATTGTACTGTAGAGACACAACGATTAAGGAAAGTGTTTGAGGGCTTCGTCGAAAAATAATTGTCGCGTCCTGAGACTTCCCTGAAGAGGAAGGAAGACACAATACTCTCCAGGACCACTGGCAGATCCATGGGGGGTTTTGCGTCTCTTCCTCCTTGCCACGTTTTTCCCACTTTAAAAGGTAGGGGAAGTCTGTAAAGACACTTCCAGATGGTTCACGGATACTGTCGCTTCAGTTGTTAATAGATTTCCTGCAGAACACGGGGCTGGGATTGATGCCGAAGGTAGACATCAGCTTCAACCCTTATGTTAGGGGTCATCACCATTCTCCTATCCGTGGCATATGTACTTCCTCCGCTTCGCTGAGGTTTATTATGCAGCAGTGAAAAACAGGATACATGTGTTTTAGGACGGGGTTCGCATTCCGCTGCCACCAATACTCGGACAAAATATATATTCAACACAGAGGTGTTTGGGCTACTGGCATAGCCCGAAGGCCAGCCCACCCAGCGAGGTACAGGAAGGCAAATTCAAAAGTCCAAGAATGGCGCCTCACCAATACCGACGGGTAAACCAACATCGTATTCCATAACATCTTAACATGAATATACAAAAAAACAAGCCGACCACAATGCAGACTGATAAGGATGATGAGCAAAAAAGTTCCACAATTTAAATCCACATAGTTGCAAAAATATTGCTACTTTAACTTTTTTATACCTACGTTCTCATGCAACTTGATTATATAATTAAACTAGGCCTTTGGATGATTAATTATATTCACAGCCCTGAAATAAATTTGCAAGGCTATTTTTTGTCTTTTTTAATTTTTAATGAAGCTGGGGTTCAATTTGACTGCCTCGTTTGCTTCGACATCTCCCAACACCGCTCCTTATAAATTATCGTGCTTCTTGTTAAGTCTGCTGTTGTACATACCCCTCAGAAGATGGTAGAGACTTCCGATTCAAAGCTACGCAAAATGGAAGAAGAAATGACGAGGTATCCTTATGTGCCTATCTGCCCTAGTGATGCCTGTTCATCGCACGTCTTTCAGAGTGATTTTCTCTGCTTAGTCTATGTTATTTTTGGTTCTTTTTCGTTGCTCGAAGATTGATCTTGCTAGTTCCGTTTTAATTATTAGGTTTGAGGCTGAAATCGCTTCCCAGACGCCTCAAGTATCTGTACCCGCAACCTCCTTACACTATAGCCAACCCATTTCTTCTTACTCCATGCCTTACGTTCCTGGCTCTCAGTTCGCCTCTCCAGGCCTAATGCCAGCAAATCAATGTGAGTGTTTTTAATGTGACCCTTTTTCTGTTCAAAATACTTGGTGTTGATGGTTTTTTTAGATATGGCAACACCTACCACCCCTGGCATCTATATGCCGCCGAACTACTCTATTCCACCTGCCTTCATGCCTCCTCCTGCTTCTACACAACCGGTAATTCAAGCACAGCCAACTGTCATTTCTGCACCTCCTCAAATGGCTGCCCCCTCACAGCTGGCAGCCGCCGTACGGGCCAACAGAGAGGCCGAGGCAGCTGCTAAATTAGCTGCTGCCGCCGACGCCTTTGATGTTGACGATGATGTAACGCGTGCTCTTTTGGCTGCTGCTGCTGGTGTCACCTACAACCACCAAGTTGCTCCCTCTTCCTCCTTAGCTTCTACTCCTGCCTCAGCCACCGCTTCCACTGCCTCAGGTAGACTGCTTGTGCTGTCTTTCTGTCTTGCATTGATGAAAGTCGATCTTGAATTCATGGTGCCTTGGAATTATCTTATATACTCTGATTTCCTGGTGTCTGGTGCGACCAAGTTCCATGGGTTTAAGCGGGCAGTCCTAGTTCATTATTTACCTATCTTTTCATGATTTTAAAATCACACAGGCCATGCTACCTGGTATATTCTGAATTGCTTTGGAATCGCTTTGGTATATAATCGCGTTGTGGGGGTCAGAAGGGCTCATTGGCACTTATTAACGAGCTGTAAAATTCTTAGCCCTTGAATATGTGCTAAAGTATTGAAGGCCATTTTTCTACCAGATCTGGGGTTTCTCGAGTTTTCCTCCATCCGTTTTTCTTTGGATTATCTGATTAGCCAAATGTTTATTTCCAGCTTTAGAGGAAAAATAAAACTATTAAGCTCTTTTTTATAGATTCCCTCTGTTTATCTTTTCATTCGTGGTTTTAGTATTGTTCTTTCAACACGTGCTGTTAATGCTTGCTAGAGGCTTCAAGGCTTTTTGATGATTTTGCGCAAATATTCCAAAGAGAACGCTTTTTCGTTCCCGCAATGGCTCTTATACTTAGGTCCCCTCCACTTGCTGTGAATATAACATTCCTTATATTAGTTTCTCCGCTGGTTTCTCTTAAGTCTTTCTTACCGCCTGTCATTAAATTGAACAAAATACAAATCACGATTTGTGTCTGGAAGTTGCTTAGGGTACCATCCCCGTTGTCCATTGTTTTTTTTCTCATATTACCACGCAAAACGAGTCTTGATTTTAGCAAATGTGAAAGTGTTTCGGCATTTTTGAGCATCAGGCGTTGGTGAACTGTTGGTAGTGTAGGATTTTTTGATTCATTTTCTCTAACCATGCTAGGATGTAGGTTTACGTTCTTGTTCGATGAAACAGATATGGTGTTTCGCTATTATCTCGCGTTCGTAAATGCTTTATATTGGCCTGTTTGTAGTTCTAGCATTTCTTATTTACATACGTACATGTTTTTGAGTCATCCTTAGCATTCATTTTTACACTGACCCACTACATTTGAGTCAAATGGGATTCAAGCATGTATTTTATTTGTGAATGCTTTTCATTACCTTCACATACTGACGAGTTTGAAACGTCTACATTGAACTTATGTGCCACTGTGGAATATCTTGGAGGTACATTTCTTGGTGAAATATGACCCAGTAAATGTTTTGCTTGAGATCTCGCTACACAACAGCGATTCGTTCTGGGTCACATTTCCGACCGCGCTAGATTTGAACCTGTTTTATTTCAACTCATAAAATACTAATCTTATTGTTTTGTCGTTAAATCTGTATCTATTTCATAATTTCTGAACCCACTCTGCTTTGATTTTACTACCCACTATTGCAGACACCAAGTCGGCCACAGCCACACCAGCCACCAAGGTAGTGCCTAGTGTGCCCAGCAAAACGGTTGTGGTACCACAAAGCCTTCTGCCCACACAACTCTCTTCCTCAACTACTTCACCATCTCAACGCGGCGCCTCCCGCTTAACGCTACTGGACACCTCGGTGGCCCCGCCCATGCGCTCCAAGGCCAGTCTCACTGAAGAACCCTACTCCTTTCAGAAGAAGGTATACAAACGCGTCGCCGCTGGCATGGTGTGGGAGGATCCCACACTGTCTGACTGGGATCCCAGTGAGTTGGTGACTGGTGCCATAATAATTTCTCATCCTTTATTCTCCAATTTCTCTACTTAACTACAGTGCGTTCGTAGATGACTTCAGGATATTTTGCGGCGATCTGGGAAATGAAGTCTCCGACGATACGCTAATTCGTGCCTTCTCGCGTTATCCCTCGTTTCGCAAAGCCAAGGTGATTGTAGACAAGAGAACCGGAAAGTCGCGTGGATACGGCTTTGTGAGCTTCTCCGACCCCAATGACTTCACACGTGCTATGCGAGAGATGAATGGTGAGGGTTCAAACGATTGAATTTCGCAATTTTTTATTCATTGGAAACCCTGTGGATATGGCTCCCTTTTCTCTTATACATCCAGGCAAGTACGTGGGTAATCGACCGATCAAGTTGAAGAAGAGTGACTGGAGAAATCGGCAGCTGGAGACCTACCGGAAGAAGGAGAAGGAGAAGAAGAGATTGGGCTTGAGACTTTAATTGGTGTTCTTTTTTACCACAAATAAGACGCATTTTGTATGGTTTGTCGTTCTGGTGGTTGGGGTGGTTCGTGTACACGCGGGTCTTTGCTCCGCTGGGATTTACGATAGTGTGGGAATGGGGGAGGGCGTGAACGATGCTATGGTCTTGGCGCATGCAGCTATACAGAAGGAAGTTGAATTTTAACTTTTCTAAGTTACTAGCTGTGATTACTGGTCAGCGGACTCACAGGGGTGCCGTTTCTAAGACATGAAAACCAAAATTTCACAGGAATGTGATGTACAATTAAGCAGTCAAATACTAGTTTTGCATTATATTCGACTATTTAACAATTACGTTCTTGCAAGTAAACATTTATTTTTAACCATATTTTGAAGAAGAACTCTAAAATTACTTTATAAATACTGCCTTTGTAATAATAAAGAGCGCCTGCTATAAAGTTGTGTGTGGGAACGGCGGCGGTTTTCCGCAACTTTTGGATTTTCAACTGTTAAATATGCAGGCCTTGAGAAGCATCCTACGTATAGTGAAACCAAGTTTTCTTTCCAGAAATGTTTCAAGCTGGCAAATTGCACTTAATGAGCATGGTGAACCCCTCGATGTTCTCTACGATCGGGTCGTGGACATCGGGACCCCGAAAAACAAGGAAGTCCTTGTTAATTATCGTTTTTGCCCAATCAATCCCTCCGATATTAATGCTATCCAAGGAACATATCCACTAAAGCCATCATTGCCAGCTGTCCCAGGAAATGAAGGTGCAGGATATGTAAACATCCCTTTATGCTCATTTATATTAGGTTTTGGAATGTGGACCTGGAGTTTCTAAACTCAAACCTGGTGATCTTATCATTCCTGCGAAACCGGGTTTGGGAACCTGGCGCAATGTCGCTATCTACGACGAATCTGATTTATTTTGTTTAAACCCCAGGCTCGATGTTAGACAGGCGGCTGTGCTTTGTGTCAATCCATTAACGGCCTACTTCATGCTCAATGAGCATGCAAAACTAAAACCCGGTGATTGCCTTATTCAGAATGGGGCGACGAGCGCCGTTGGCATTTACGTAATGCAGATGTGTAAACAGATGGGTGTGAGAACAAGTAGGCTTTGTTGTTTAGCATAATTCACGCTTAAGTAAATCTTTTTAGACCCCGTGACACACCAGAAAAGACGGAGTCCACGCGTCAGGCGCTTCTAGACTTCGGAGGCACCGTGGTTCTTACGGAAGAGGAGCTGAAACAACGGAAAGACTTTAGTGAATTGGGCAAAATTAAAGTGGGCCTTGATTGCTTGGGTGGTCGGCCAGCTCTGACCATAATCAAGAGCCTCGATCAACATGGGCTCCTCATAAATTATGGTGGAATGACAAGACAACCAATTCCAACTCCCATTAGTGCTCTTATCTTTAAAGGTATTCAAATTCGCGGATTTTGGCTTTCGGGAAGAAGGAATCAATCGCATTTAGCGGAGGAGATACAGGCAAGGCTTGATGAACTTTCAAATTGGATAATTGATGGGAAACTCAAGCTCTCTCCTGCTGAATTATTTCCGCACTTGGAATGGAAGGCTGCCGTTTCCAAGGCTCTATTCAAGGATGATACGCCCAGGGATTTGCCACGCAAGAACGTGTTGTCCTTCCCAGAGGTCTCTTAATATTGCTTCTGTGTTTTCAGAGTTTCAGTAAACTTATTTGGTTTCCCACGAAGTAACAATCACTTCTCTTTAATTTGGAGATTCTTGATTTGCTACTTCGAATGTCTAACTTTTTAACCCCCTTAAATAAAATGAATGGTAAATGTGATTGTTCATTGGGGGATTTTGGTAGCTAATTGAAATGAGCCAGTAGGGGAACTGACAGCTTAAGTGCCCATGTTCTGAAGTCCTGGATGTACCAAATTGGAAGTACTGTCGTCTCTTTTCTGGCTTATCTGCAAATTGTGCATACATTTCCTTGGACTATACGAATGTGCATAAATTAGCCATTGTGCGTACTACCTTGCTCCAATTCATCCCGTTCACGTGTAGAATAATTATAGATTTGCAAGGATTTGAGTAAAATTGGGGGTTGTGAGTGTTTGCCAGGCATCGGCTTAGCTACAGGTTTCATTTGGAGACATGAAAAAGCCACAAACGGCTTTGGAAGCCGCAGCGACTTTCTGCATACCGAAGCACTGACAATGACCCTGTTCACCTTCATTCGCCACTTTCATGCTACGAGGCCGTTGTACCTTATTCAAATTCAAGCGCGATCGGCGTCACGAATGTGGTTCGTTGCAAGGACTGGATACTGGAAATAGCCTTTTGATAAGTGGAGGTTCTTGAAATACGCCGCTGCCAATGTTAATCTGGGGAGGACTTGAAGCGACGCATTGGTGGCGGTGGCAAACAAGCACAGTCCAAAAAAAAACATTTTTTCTATTTTTTGGGTAAAATACAAAGCCTTGATGCCACAGGGGAAGAAAATCAGTCGTGGATGGGTGAATGTGTGAAAACGCTCAGAGGTGACGTCTACCTTTGGCATTCACTCCAATCCCCTGTTTTACGAGAAGGCTATAAACAGCTAAAGCGACAAAACTCTAACCATTTGGATGAGGTCATTATGAAGCCATCTACAGTACTCATTTGAAGAAGTTAATTACGTGGACATGTGACAACTCCTCCTCCTTCACGTCTCTAAAGGTAAACAAAGTGGAGAGGGGGAATAAACGCAGAACGGTGGACCCTCGAGACTACCTTAACTCTGATCTCGCATTGAGCGGCTCCACATTCAAGCTCTTTTCCTCAAACCTAGAAATTGGATACACGAAATGGCCTCGCTGTGCCGAATCTTCCAATCTTGAGGGGGTGTTAATTCAGTGTATTTTCCCTTTTGCTATGCAACTGGTGACACAGTGGGCTTCCCGAGATGCATCAATGAAATTGGGAGCAAATGCCTTCTCATATCCAAGAAAATTGAGTAACTGGCGTTTCTGTTTCTTAGGTGGCTCAAAAAGCACCGACTACGTTGTAATGGATGGTGAGGGAGGTAGAAAAAAGACAGATGAATGCTGCCTCAAGCCAATGGTAGTTTAAATGCATCAACAACCTTCAGAGTCCCTTGAATAGCTAATCTAATTACGTATCCGTGGCTTCAATAACGCAAACACTTGCTTACTTGGGATCTGCCATATCACTTTTGAAAGTCTGCGGCTCCTTTAACAATAGGAATGCGATGTTATGGTTCGACCTCATCTCAGCTGGTCAGTGTTTCCAAATCTCCCATTTAGCGAAGCTAACAAAAATCACAAATAGCTTCAAAAACATGATAGGAAAAGGGTACTTATTTCTTGCACGGAAAAGGCAACCAGACCCGATATTGCTATAGCATGAAAAGGAGACACGCAGAGTGATAAAGGAGAACAATTCCATTACTTGGTCGATGAGGCAGAAACGCTGAAATGAATAAATAACTGAATGAATTGGTTAATGTGGGGTAGAGGAAAGGGACTAAGCATTTGAAGCGATAGCAGCAGAAAAGTAGTCGTTGCCGTAACTGTTGCTGCAGAGTCCTCAGCGTGTCACACGAACCGTCCGGCGGGTTGTAGTTTGCTTCATCGTGCAACGGGTATACGTGGGCACGAGGATTGCCACTTGAAGCGCGAACACACAGCCGACCACAGAGATGAAGTAGGACCATTGCCTAGCAAGGATCTCAGTGTAAACGATAACCGCAACGAGTAAAGCTGCCACTCCAAGGTAGAGAGTGATGAAGTAGGCAACACACAGGCAGAAGGACTCAGTGGATCGCCTAACTTGCACGATGCCGATGATGAGAGTGATGCAAAGTAGCACCGCACCCACTATCAGAAGGTAGCCGACAGCATTGGCGGTGACGCTGTAGTTGCTGCTGTTGCGTAGAAGATTGTCTCCGATCCACTGATTTGTGGCCACACCGATTATGGTGAATAGAATAGCAATGCCAAGGAGCACACAAGTAACGATGCGTATATTCATGACCTGGAGAGTGAGACGAGTGAAGTGGTAGGTGAATGAGTGAGCAGCTCCTGCCTGTATGTGCGTGTGTGGTTACATATGCAGGTGAAAACACGAATCGCACGGTGGTAACCTGATTCTGCTCAGCTCAAATAGCGCACCGCGATCGCCTCCTTTGTCACCATCTCGTGCTTTAGAGTGCGTGACTCGTTGAAACGTGTCATCTGGACGCCTACAAATGGCTGAAAAATACACGATGTGAAATGACACTAAGTTGAAGGCTTTAATGAATTTATTGTTAAGGTAATGAAAAAATACTTAGAGCTCTTGATACCAATGAAAAGGGACTTTACAGGGTATCGGTTCCCAAATTTGGCAAGCAAGTATGTTGCGCTTGTTGTGGATTGGCTCTAGCACACGTAAACAAGTCTTTTGTCAGCCGTGGTTTGAAGCATTCCCACGCTGCATATGCAATGGTTTGGTAGTTGATGCCAGATAACGGCTACGGATTCCCCAGAGGCAAAAACGCGACTATTATGTTGTAGGAAGCTATGAGAATCGTTTCAGTCCAATCAGGTCTTTCAGTTTTTGAGGTATGGATGCGAATGCTGCTGTGGCGGTACTGTACAGGCGCTAAATTCACAGCCTAGTCAGACGCCACAAATCAACTCGGCTGACGACAGCAGTATTGTGCATGTTTGGAACGGTGTGTAGTGATGATGTCCGTCCTGAAGGAAAGCGTAAAAACCGCGCTTACTTGTATCCACGCTGGACTTTAAGAAGTGAGGTAATGGTCCACTGATAGGCTAAACGCATTACAAACGCGGTTCAACGTCTGCCAGTGACGATTCTGCCCGCGACAGTTCCGTTCTCAGTCTCAAATTTTTTTAATTCCTGCAATTATTCAACCTGCGTGTAGAAAGCTGGGACGGTGAGATCTTGAACAGTTGGATCCCCCCAAGGTGTGTGCAAATATGGTAGAGATTATGGCGAAATCGGGTGCAGCATCCACTTCTTGAAAATTTCCCTCTACTTGAATGCTTCTTGCAGTGGCAAGTAATCGGGTGTTTACGAACCGAAAAGGAAAAATGAAAACCGTGGGGTGGATACACTGAATAACCACCACAAGGCAGCTTAGAAACCACCTAAAGCATACATTAATTTGTTATCTCACTTTTCTCAGGATTGTAAACTACGTGGGACTCTCTGCCAGAAATGACCCATGTGACCAGTTGCACAACTCAAGGTTAACTTTTCGACTGGAATTATACAACACGAACAGAGAATGGTAATTGCTTTTTATGGTCACCGAATATTTTATTGCTAGGCAATCTAATCATTTATGAGTGTACCTCAAGGCAACATGTTAATTAGTTATACCGTTTAGCTGCATCTTCCACACAAAAACAATCCGTTTATAGACTTCTAACTTGCCCTCCACACTTCCAGTTAAATATGAGAATGAAAATTATAAACTCCATCATACATTGATTCAATCGCATTACGTTAGCGTTAATTTTACGGTCGACAGTGGTAGGATTTCGAAATGACTCCTTTAAAAGGCGCTCAACGTTATAAGCTCCTGGTGGAGATTGTTCTTTGACGGCTGGAGTATTGCCGTAAATTTGTAGCAGCGACATGATGATAGTATCAACAGAATAGCCAATTTAAAATGGTGAAAAAGAAATTCTGGAAAAGGTATAAACAGCCACCAGGGTTACTCTGTACACTAACAGAAAGCCTTCTTCCATGGTCTTGGATCCTATTATTTTTTTTTCTTAATTTCACGAGGTGCCAATTTGGTGGCAAGGGGATGGAAACCCAGATCCGGGATCATTGGCTGGTTATCTCGCCTAAATGTCACGGAGGAAAGATGTCTCCTGTAGATGGTTGAAGTTCTGCGTACCTATGATGGAAGAACAACTAAAGCCGCGTTGATATTTACTAACTAGCTCAAACTCGACATCCGCTTAAAGCTTGAAAGAGTGTTGCATTCTCTGTTGACGCAGATTACTCAAGGTGGCCAACAGAAATAAAGAGAAGTCTTATGCAAGATAACAGACTTCTAGTAATTCCAAAGTAGTCAACAAAAATGGTACTCTAATCATCTGACAAAATACTTCTAACCAGGTCTTGATTTGTGTGCAAATAAACAAGACCAAATATGTTCAAGTGTGTAATGAGTGAATCCAGAATCAGATCCCCCATGTGAACTCTATTGTGCTGATTCACTAGATTGATACTGCTTAAGGCAGGTGGATGCTCTTTTGCTATTCGTTAGAACATTTGCCTCAAAGCAGCAGTTTGTCCAAACAGAAGCGATAGCTTCACAGAGCCAATGTTCAAGATCACTTTCAACTTGCTATTTTGTCTAATCATCCCTATAAATTCTATTCAGATGCCAAGGAGGAGAGAAAAAAATACGTCTCGTGTGAATGTTGTGGACATCTGCAGATCGTTCCAGATCGCTAACAAAGGAACTGATAGAGGAGCTTCTCCAACAGAGTTTCTGATGGACCTTTACACATTCTGGGACTCGTAATTTCCCTTCTGTGATGTCAAGAACTAATGCTTACGCATAGAATTCTTCCCCTTAGAATGTTTCTAACAAGTGCCATCAAGGCTGTCCCCCAGTCTCCCCTGAGCATCCAAATGGACGCTTGAGTTTGACATAACTCCTTAATAAATGTACGGGAGATAATAACAGAATGCCAAACCGGTTTGATGGCAGCCGGTATTATGAAGTCTGTAGTCCGGGAAAGGTCCTTGAACCATGCCTTCAAGAATCCCAATAATGAGATGGCATTTCAGCTACCATCATTGCTGAAAGGAGTCAAGAAGGAACCACTTCCAAAATGAATCGTTGATGAGACTGCGGAAATGCCTGTGCCTGTATATGACTTGACGCCGAGCAACCTCAGGTACTCACCTAAAGACTAATGAGATGTGTAATCTCAGCACCTGTCTTGCTTTCCTTCTATCATTAAAATGTTCGGGGTAAACGAGTTAAACGTTAGTGGAACTATTCTTGTACGATACTTCAGCAATCCTATCCAAAGGTGTCAAGTGGAAGGTTAACGTGGAGTAATTTGATTTCAATTTCATCGTATAATTAAAACTTGTTGAAGAGATTTTGCTAGATCATGAGGCACTTCAACTTGACATTCAAAATCTCATTGCGATGGTTTTGCAAAAAAAAGCCAAATAAGTAGTATGTTGCCATTTCCTTAAAAAATCCACAAAACTCTTGCATTTGACATAAAAGGTCAAAGACCCTCCTGCTCCTCTCCTCATGTTCCTACCTTCGATAATCGGTTTCAGAAACAAGCATTTTGCAAGGTGTTTGAAATACTTCTTCTAAATGTCGTTTAGACAAGTTCGAATATTTGTCAAATCCCACATGGCTCTTGCAGAAAGATACTTTTCATGGGTAAACTTATAAAACCAATTCCACCATCAATGCGTCGAACCCAATTCATTTCACGATTTTAAAGAAGGAGAAAAAGAATTACGAAACGGTTAATTTACACACGCAAATTAAGCCCACTTGTATTTGGTGGCCCTCAAGTTCGCTTACGGGTGGAAACCTGAGGATGGCTGAGCACGGGAATCTCTTTTGAGGAGATTCGAGAATTACAAAGTTAGCACATGGCTTACCGTAGTTTAACATAAATGCGTGGCAACTAATTCATGCAATCTTTCATGCATGTAACTGCAAATTATGCAAAGAAAGGGGATTGAAATAAACAAAAAACACGAAGGTTTGTGTTCTATATTGAATAATCTATGCATCTGAAAGGTGCAAAATGTGCGACAGCGTCTTTAGTGTAAAAGCACAAATTAAAGGTCTTACTGTAAGGTAGATAAAGTAGGCGAGGTGTTTTACAATTTGACTCCAACTGTCTGTGTAG